GTCCCTCCTTTTGACCCACAGGAAGGTCCATGTGGGAAGTGGATCCAGTCAAGGTTTGGAGGGTGAGAAATCCTTCTCTGGAAAAGACGCCGAAGATCTTGGGAGCCCCCCTTCGCTGAAACCCTATAAATGTGATGAATGCGATTTATGCTTTGGTCGATCGTCACACCTCCTTATACATCAGAAAATCCACAATGGAGAGAAACCTTATCATTGTCTGGAATGTGGGACATTTTTCCGTGAGAAAGCCACCCTCAGAAAGCACGAGAGGACTCACACGGGCGAGAAACCTTTCAGCTGTGGGCAATGCGGGAAGAGCTTTTCTCAGAAGACAAATCTTTGCGTCCATGAGCAGATCCACGCGGGAATCAAACCTCACAAATGCTTGGAGTGTGGAAAACAGTTCACACAGAGTTCCTCTCTTTGGAAACACGAGAAAACACACCGAGGGGAGAAAAACGAAAAATGCCTTGAATGCGGGAAGTGTTTTATCTTGAAATCAAACCTGTTGCAACATCAGAGACTTCACACCGGGGAGAGACCCTATCAATGTTCAGAATGTGAGACACGATTTCTGACTTCTTCTGACCTCCGGAAACACCAGAAAGGGCACAGAGACGAGAAACCCTATAAATGTGGGGCTTGTGAGAAAGGTTTTCTTGAACTAAGGAAGCTTCAGAGTCATGAGAGAATCCACACAGGGGAGAAGCCGTTCAAATGCCTGGAGTGTGAGAGGTGCTTTTCCCAAAAGCATCACCTTGGAAGGCATCAGAGGGTCCACACAGGAGAGAAGCCCTACAAATGCGGAGAATGTGGAAAAAGTTTTGCTCAGAAAGGATACCTTTCAATCCATTATAAAACCCACACAGAGGAGAAGCCCTTTCAGTGCAATGAGTGTGGACAATTTTATCGTGCCCTAACAACCCTTAGAAAACATGCAAAACTTCACACAGGGAACAAAATTTCAAATGGTTAAGAGCGCGGGAGAACATTTTGCTCATTCATGTTCCCTTAAAAATCACAGCCAAATCTATATAGCAGAGAAGCCCTAGTCAGGTAACCTTAAATTTAAGCATAATTTTCAAGAAGAACCTATCCCTGTTACTTTTTGATCAGTGTGTGCTAGTCAAATCAAATATTTCTTAACCTTTTATTTTTGTTTTCATTTTTTGGGATATAAATTTATCATTTCAGGAAATGTTTAATAGCTTCCAATTTTGTTACTCTTGTTTTTTAATTATTTTGTTTAGTTGTTCTGAGGGGGATTTAAGCTAACTGGAAAGCGGGATTATATTGTTATGTCATTAGCTATTTTTGTTAATTGGATCTGGATCTTTGGGGATCCATAGGAGAGGTGAAGATTTAAAGATAAGTTGGTAAAAAATGGGATCGGGTACACAATGAAGATGCCCCTGTTTGTAATTGGAGAGAGAATGAAAAAAAAGTCACACACTCAGGATTAATTGGAGTGCAGGTTACTTAGCACGTACATTGCAGGTTGTGAGATATGTTAACTTTGAATTATGTAATGATTTTAGTGTGAATTGTAAATTGATACCAGGTTGCTTATCATGTGACCCAAAATTCAGGTTATAATATGTGCAATTAAGATTACTATTATGTACAATTGCTTTATCTATAAATTTAATTTTTAAAGCATATTCTTCTTGTTCTTTACTCTGATGCTTCATTATTCATGCACCCTATCGCATTCAATGTTTTTCTTGCCTATTTTCGTCAATCTGGAAACAATTACCTTATTTCCCATCGAAATACCACTTCAAAATAGTACAGGTAGACCTTGAGTTACGACCACAATTGAACCTTAAATTTATGTTGCTAAGTGATACATTTGTGAAACGAGTTTTGCCCCATTTTACGACTTTTCTTCCCATTCTTGTGAAGTGAACCATTGCAATTGTTACGTTAGCAACACGGTCCTTAAGTGAATCCGGCCTCTTCATTGGCTTTGCTTGTCAGAAGATCGCAAAAGGGGATCTCATGACTCAGAGAGACTGCAACTGTCATAAATATGAATTAGTTGCCAAGAATCTGAATTTTGATCATGTGACCATGGGGATGCTGCAGTGGTTGTAAGTGTGAAAAATGGTCATTTTTCAGTGCCCTTTTAACTTGTTATGGTCACTAAACAAACTGTTGTAAGTTGAGCACTACCTGTATAAACTGAATGGGATATTTTTGAGGGATTCATTAACCTCACTAAAGAAGGCCTAACTTAACTCCTTGCTTGCCCTAAACTGTGCTTAATTCTCTTCTCCTGTGTCTCCATGAAGTGGCATCTCATTCCCAGCCCATGACAAGGTTGTGGGAATTGGCATCTCCAGCAGATCTCATTAAAGAAAATAAAGAATCCAGTATCGTGTATGTAAGAAAACTTTCAGCTATAAATTGAATCTTAAACCTCAGCGGAAACTCCACAGTGGAGAGAAACCCTTTCAGTGCTAATGTCAACCTTTCCAACTTGGTCATCCAGCAAAGAAAAGATCTCCTACCCCATTGTTTAGCCAAAATTAAAGTTTACTGAAGATGAAGTTGTGACAAGTAGCAAAGCTGGATCTGGTATTTTTGCACACAATTTTCTCGTTTCTCCGGTCATCTTGTTATCAGTTAATGTCCAATTGGGTGCTTGTATATTGCTTCAATTGCCAGGCCTGTTCTTTCCAGACACTCATATAAAATAACGTGTACAAATCAGAGAGGTCCAGAATTAAAAATTAGGAAGATCTGACTAACAACAAAAGTAAGAACAAACCCCTTTAGAACTGACAAATGAAGGCATCAAAATAGTGAACAGCTTCTGCTTTTTAGGATCAACCTTTAACAGTGAAGGAAGAAATAAGCCCCAGTTCAGCACTTGGTAGAGCAGCCATAAAGGCCTTTGAAATCTTATTTAAATGCCATAACTAAAATAATCAGAATTGTGTAAGCCATGATCCTCTTCCCTATGATCTTCTATGCACTGAGCAGAATATTAAAAAGTGGAATATAAAGTATAGAAAATAGAATAGATGAAGAGAGAAAAGAAACTATGGAATATTAAAGTATATAAACAATGGAATGGAATGGAGCAGAATAAAAGCCAAAGTTGGACTTAAACAAACAGGATAGGACTAGGACTGAACTTTCCCCATGCCTATTCTCCGGATGCCCCTAGCCTAGTAGTACTACGACTCCCATCACACCCTGCCTTCACATATTTGGGCCACCCTTTCGAAGACAGTTGCTTTGGATCTGGTGTTGAGTCCTTAGAAGCATAACGAGGCATATAATGTCCCTGTAGGGATGTCAATGGCGGCATTCCTGTAAGGGTAACCGGCCTTGCGAATTGCCCTGTTTGCTGGGTTGCCATAGAGACCATTCGCCACCTTAAGAAAGCTGAACTCCAACTCCCAGAATGCCTCGCGCTGGCTGAGGAACTCTGGGAGTTGAAGTTCACCTAGCTTAAAGTGGCTAAGGTTGAGAAACACCGTCCTAGACTAAGCTGATGCATTAAACAACCCCCAAAATCTGGTTACAGCTTTGCACAAACCAGGTGCTTCTGTCCAGACTTAGTTCACCCGCGGTGTGTGTGTGTGTGTGGAGGGGGTTACAGACCTGGTGCCAATCTTGCTTGCCCTTCCCTCCCCTTTCCCCTCCCTATTTGATCATCAAGCCTCGTCTTGCTCTGGGTTCCGAAGGAGTTAAGTCTCTAAGCGATCGATTCCTTAGAGAGGAAGAAAATTTGGGGTGGAGGGGTTTTTGGGGGGGGGGGGGGGGGGGGAACTGGGGAAAAGAAGGCCAAAGGCTCCTTCCATCCCCGGTCTCGCCTGAATGCTGCCGGGGCCGGCGTTTGCAGGAGGGGCTGAAATCGATCCTGCTCTCTCTTCGGCTCTTTGTGGTGTGTGTGGGATCGGGCCCACTTACGGGGGTGTGTATGTGTGGGAAAACACCCGATCTCCTTCCTTGTGCATTCGAGCAAGGCTAAACTGCAGAGGAGGAGGAGGAGGAGGAGGGTGGGAGGGATGAAGGGCGCTGGGAAGTCCCCCACTCAAAATAGATCCGAGCTCACTCCTGAAAATAAAAGATTACGTGGGAAGGGGGCGCCTTTGCAGAGCAAGCAAGAGGGTCTATGGTCTCCCCTTTTCCATGCTGTGGGGAGGGGGAGCAGCTTAGCCCCCTCCACCCCAAGTTCTGGTTTTCAGTTTGATTGCTGCCTCTCCTCCCTCCCCTTCCCCGCGCCCCTTGCAGGGTTCAACAGATTTACCAGAGTTGGAAGGGACCTTGTAGGTCATCTAGTCCAACCCCCTGCCGAATCAGGAGACCCTACTACGCCATTTCTGACAGATGGCAGTGCAATCTCTTCTTGAAAGACTAAAGGGATGAAGCTCCCACAACTTCAGAAAGCAAAGCTGTTCCATGGGTTGATTGTTCTCCCTGTCAGAAAAGTTCTCTTTTTATTTCCAGGTTAAAACTTTCAGGGTGTATTCAATGCTTTGCTAGGGGCTGGGAAGGAAAATCCATCTGGTTCAATTCTTAAAATGGGAGAAAGATGCTGGAAGCCACACAGAGGCTGATTGTAAAGAAAGTCCATTTATTGGTGGACAGAACCACCAGGGTTTGTGGGTTCTGGTGCAGCTGGCAAAATGGAGTTTAGAGTGGGTTGGTTTTTAAACCTTCTGGATTTCTATGGGGGTCATGGCTAGCTCTACAGGCAAAAGGGAAAATGCAAATCCTAGGTGTTTGTCTGAGCTAATCTGATCAACCTATTTTTTGTTGCTTATCTGAGTTTGTCTTGATCCAGTCTTTCTGAATGGGTTACCAAATCTGCATTTCTAAAAGCTGTCCGCCTCAGTATTTTTTGCTTGGGACAGGGAAACTGGGACTGTTTTCTGCCTCCCTTAAGGTTTTTTTCCCCATTTCTCCTCTAGGGGAAATATTTTATTCTGCCTTTTTTCAAATATTTCCCAAACTATTTCATACTTCTGGGGCAGGTGGGCTTCCCACACAGGGTTAAAACGTCCAGGGTGTATTTAATGTCTTAGTAGGTCTGGATTGGCTTTATTGGGTGCTTTTCTTTCAAAAAGGGGCAAAGCTGCCTTTATTTTTCTTATCTCCTTGTGGAATTTAGCTGTTGGAGCCTTATTTCTTTTCTTTTTTTAATCCACCCTGTTCCTCATGAGTACTAGGTGGGATGGGAGAGGGGAATACATAAAAGCAGCAGTCCATTAAGACAAAACAATCATTTCTCATAATATCTTTTTTGCCCTTATACTTAATTTATTACCTTCCCCAAGGGTAAACCTGCAAAGTAGACAGGCTGGATACTGCCCTAGTTCCGTATTCCATATACTGAAGGTGGATTTGAACTTCTTTGAATTCCTTCCTTCCTTCCTTCCTTCCTTCCTTCCTTCCTTCCTTCCT